GAGAGAGAGAGAGAAACACGCGGGGATTGGGGGAAGAAAGAAAATGAAACCCGAGAAGCGGAGGGAGGGACGGAAAAAAAGGAAGAGAAGAGACCCGGGGGTGGGGAAAAAATAAAAATAAAAAGAGAAAAAGGGAGGGGGAGAAAAGTGACGAGGGAGGAAGGCGGCTTCGCCCGGGGCAGAGTGCGAGGGGGCCCGGGCCGCTCTTCCGGGAAGAGGAAGGGGAAAGAGGGAAGTGAGACCGAGAGTGTGAGGTGGGGAAAGAGGTCAGTTGGGGGGTGGAAGGAGGCCGGGTGGCGGGGAGGGGGTGGGGAGAGCGGGGTGAGGCCTCGGCCTCGAGCGACCGTTGTGTTGACGGCTCCGCCCGCTTCCGGCTGCGCACCGCGACGTCGACGGGCCAGACTCACCATGTACCAGGTACCGAGGATTATGGTCCCGGTGCGGACGTGACAGAAGCCGCAGCAGCGGGTGCTGTACAGGCGGCGGCCGCCCGCCGATTTTAAAGTCATGGCTGTACGGCAGCTGAGGCGGTGCGGGAGAGACTGCAGTCCGCGGCCTCCGGCTCCTTTCACGGAGAGCGCTGGTCTGATTAAACCACGCCCCGCTGTTCACGTCACCCTGTTGGACAGGCGGTTTCCCCAATCACAGCCCGGTCACCGGGCAGCCGCATGAACCGACCAATAGGAAGGCTGTTCGAGGCAGCGGACCCCAATACGTCACAATAGTGACAGCTCAGGGCGAGGGCGTTCAGCCCACACAGCCTGTGTTGTACTAAGATAACAAGGTGTAGAGCTGGATGAACACAGCAGGCCAAGCAGCATCAGAGGAGCAGGAAAGCTGACGTTTCGGGTCTAGACCCTTCTTCTGTCATCTCATATTGAGGGAAGGGTCTAGCATCGGCAGTTCCTATTATCTCTGTGTTGTACTGTCGCCTTTTCAGGTAACGGTCCAATTCTCCGTGGACTCCTCAGCTAAATCTGAGGCACTACACCACAGATCCTTAGGGCATTCTGTGCGAAAACGTACTGTCGCATTTCGCCAGTGCTTCTTTTGCCACTTCCCTTAAATTAATGCCCTGAGTTTCTTGACTTTTCCAACAGCGGCAACAGTATCTCCGTAAATGGTCTATACGGATCCCTCATGATTTTGAATACGTGTATCAAATCTCTCCTCAGCCTTCCCCAGAAGTAAACAGTTTCAATTTCCTCAATGTTATACGTAACTCATTTATCCCTGGACCTATTCTCAGGAATATTCCGCATCTTCTCTAATGCCTTAACATCCCTCCTAAGCAAAGTGGCCAGACTGAGCACAACACACAAGCTGAATCTCAAGCTAAAATTACGTGTTCGTGGTTTACATCCCTCTGATAAAGCACATGATGCCAAATGTTTTAAGTTTACTCTTGACCTGTTCGTCATCTTAAATGATTTTGCAGTTATAGACTCAGGTCCGTCCACTCCTACACCTTCTATAAAAATAAATAATATATTCTACGTAGTCTATGCATTCTTCCTACCAACGTGAATCACTTCGTAAATTTCTGCATCAAATGTCGTCTGCCAATTGTTTACTCATGCCACCAAACTCTCCTTAGAACTACCATTTGTAAAGCATACTGCAGATGCTGGACCACTGAAATAAAAAGGGATAATTGGTGGGAATACTTGCAATGAGATTGAGCTAATGTTTCAAGCTGATTCTTTCTTAAAATCTATTGCATTTCTCATTTATGACAGGCCATTTTCATTCTGTGCCAACCAGACCATGAGTACTGCCGGTAAAGTAGGCAAAGACTTGCATTATTCCTTGCCTGGAGTCACAGGTGAATTGAATGAACAGTTGAATGTTGTAGAAAACTCCTGGCTGGTGGCAGGCAATATGTAACTCTACATGAACACCTGCGGAAAGTGAAGCCAATTGCTGTGGTTGGTTTGCTCGCCAAGCTGGTTCATTAGTTCGCAGATGTTTCATTACCCTGCTGGGTAACATCATCAGTGCAGTCGCCGATGAAGCGCTGTTGTGTTTTCCCACCTGGTATTTAATTTCTGGTTTCCGTTGGATTTGATTACCTCATTTCCGGTTTTCCTTCACAGTGGTGTATATCTAGGGTCCAGTTCTATGTGTTTGATGATGGTCTTCCTGGTGGACATCTAGGCTTCTAGGAATTCCCATGCTTGTCTCTGTTTGGCCTGTCCTAGGATCCTGGTGTTGTCCCAATCGAACTGGTGGTTCTCCTTATCCATGTAAAAACACAACAGCGCTTCATCGGAGGCTGCACTGATGATGCTACCCAGCAGGGTAAATGAAACATCTGCGAACTAACAAACCAGCTCAGCAAGTGAACCAACCACAGCATCCACAACCCCAGCTACAGATCTACTCAAGAACCTTAGTGAAGCCAAATTTTCCATATCCCAAAGCTCTTTCCTGTTGGCAACCTTTAGTGGGAAGGTGATCAATTCTTATCAGTGTGCACGTAACACATATGTCTGATAGAACAATGAAAAACAAAATGACTTATGACATTAGCATTCCCTGATGGATCCTGTGATGTTCCTGAAGATCCACATGCTATTGTCTCCTGGGCCCTCCCCTCCTTCAAGCAGCCTCTCCAGTTCTGTGCTGCAATCCTTGCTGCTGTTCTTCTTCCTCAAAAGCTTCAGCTAGGCAGTAACTCCATCTTCCTTACTGCAATGAAGTTAATCGAATAAAGATTACAGCAAATCCCTGAACTCAATCTTTAAAACCACAGGTCACTAAATATTGGTGGCTATGATATTGACTCAATGCCCTCCATAGCTTAGAGAGCATAACCAGGATCCTTATTATTTATTAATTAATCTAGCATTTAATTGAAGTTTCTGGCAAGAAGGCTTATAATGCATCTAAATCAATATGAGGCAGACCTACTCTTAGTGGCTTTTGGGCATAGTAAGTTGTGCGTATGTAGATAGTCATTTTCGCTCTTGCTTCACATCCAAAGATTGGGGAAAACTGCATTCAATTTTGCTCCCATCTCCCAACACAAAACAAATTTTTAGCCTTTCCCTGGCTGTGGGCGGTGGGCAGTGGGCGGTGGGGGTGGGGTGGGGAGGGAGGGAGGTGGTGGGGGGTGTGTGGGTGGGCTAAAAATTCAGTTCAGGCAAGACACAAATTTAAAGGTCCAGTTAATTGCCAACAAAAATATTTTTTTATTTATATAGCACCTTTAACGCAATAAAGTGTCCCAAGGCTTTTACTGGATCATTCTAAAGCAAAATTAGATGCTGAGATGTGTAAGGCAACATTACAGCATACTGCCAAAATCTTGGTTAAAGAGGTAGATCATAAAGGGGCACCCTAAACAAGAGGGGGTTAGGAAAGCGGGAACGAGATTTAGGGAAGAATTCCAAAGCTCAAGGCCTAGGTAACTGAACTGCCACAAATGGTGGTACACAAAAGTGAGGATGTTCACGAAGCTAGAATTAGATGATCACAGATATCTTGCAGGGTTGAAAGACTAAAGAAAATTACAGAGCTAAGATGTGAGTGAAAGCTTTTTCACAAAGCCATGAAAAGGTTCTTGAGAATTTCAAAGTTGCGCCTTGGTTGACTGGGAGCCAATGTATCACAGAATTGTTACAGACAGAAGGAGGCTATTCGGGTCCCTCATGTCAGGATTTGCTGTAGGTCAGATAGCACAGGGCCAGTTAGTTTTATTTGGTCAGTGAATGACTTTAAATTTGCTGAGGATAAAAAGTGGGAAGTGAGGAAGAGTGCACTGCAAGTCAAGTCTGGAGGGAACAGACATTAGTGAACAGCAGCAGATAAGCTTATGCAGGAATGAAGACAAAGTCAGACATTATTATGGAGGTAGGCAATAAATGGTCTTAGCTGATGATGCAGAAATGTGGTCAGAACTTCACTTTGTGATTGAATACAAGACTGACAGTCTGGTTCAGCATCAGTTGGTTGCTGGGGGCAGGAAAAAAAATCAGTAGCTAGGGAACGAAGTCTGTAGTGGGGACTAAAATCCATGACTCCAATGTTTAGCTTTAGGAAATTCCTGTTCATCCTGTACAGGATGTCAGACAAGTAGCCTACCTAACAATAAAAACACTTCATTTTCTTTCCAAAACATTATTTTCCATTTATTTAAAGTGGTAGATGCATAAACTGTTGGCTTCAGGAACCATAATGAATGACATGATAGCTCACAATTATATGTATATCTGCAGATTAATAGGGCAGGTCCTCAGTTATTAACATACTTCTAATCAACCTAAAAATAACAATAATAACAAGATCTTCCAATTTACCTTTTGGCTTTAAAGTGTTTAACGTTCCAAATAAAATGTGTACTGTTTGAGAAGGCAAAGATACTTTTGTAAAACAGTACAACTTTTGTTGACCAATATCACATTTATTTCCTGTATATATATATATATATATATATATATATCTTATGAGAACTTTTGTGATAGTGACAAAACAATACAAGGAGGGCTGTTAAACAGTTCTTGGGTAGTTTGCCAATAATAATGCACAAGAGTAAATTCTACTCTGTCAATATTCTTTCCATTTATCCCTGAGGCATAGGCTTACGTAGAAGGATGGTTCCAACATCCCCAAAGCCCTCTGCACTTTGCCCGAGTGTCTTTTTTCTTCAAAAAAATGGGCAGTGGTATAGGCAAGGTATAGAAGTAGCATACAATTGCACCTGATCACTTCATCATCAGACTTTCACAAGATAATTCCTCAAGCAATTGTCAATAACCTGGTTGACAATCTAGCTGTAGTATGCCTATGATCATCCTGGTTGAGATATTAGCACTGATCAAGGATTGAAATTCTGGTGCTCAATGATGAAAAATATACTAGAAAAGCACAATGAACTGCTCAGATGGTTGTTTAATATTGCCTGAGTATGGCAACTGACGTTTAATGAAAACGTTCAAATGTTTATGTAAACAGTTTATGTAGGTCTAACAAAATGTATACTGAAATACTGATTTTACTATTAGCTGTCAAGTAAAACGTCACTTTCTTTACACAATAAAAACGATCATATATTTACCAGCATGTGCTGAGTACACCTTCAACATATTCACTATATCGCAAATTACAATACCACTGTACAAACTCCATTTTCACAGCTTTATGTTCATTACGAGAAATACCTCCAAAAGTATTGTAAAAGATTTTTTAAAACAAATTATTCTACATAAATTAACATAACACAAAGATTACATCACACACATGGTTTACTATCATGAAAGTATTTTTATTATCCTTTTTTAAGACCTTCATGAAGAGCAGGTCTGTCTTATGAAAAGGATAAACTGTGTGTTCCACTATTCCCCATTGTGTAGCGTATTTACCTCATGATAAATACTTGTTGAAACACAGAACATGTTATAGAACACAAACTAAAAATATCGCACAAATTCTACAATAAAGTGCAAACATATTATACAATAATGCAGACGTGTACAGAAAAATTGTCCATATTATCAAAAAACCAGTAACTGATTTATGGACTATCTTAACTGAATAACTGTTCAGCATTTTACAAGTAGGAAATCAGTAAGCTTCAGTAACCCAGAATTCAAATTAAAAGTAATTCAGTTATCATAAAAATGTAGCTCCCTTGTTAAACACATTTTGTGCAGCATAAACCTGCCATTAAATCTTCTGTGTTGCACGTCTTAAAGTTTCCCAAACTTTAAATGAATGCCTTATATACTGGTTTGCTTAGCATTAGTTCTGTTGACTAAATCAGTCATGAGAACAGAAAAAGGTTGCATTAACTAGATTTTAGTTACATATAGGTTTGAATAAAACACCTCTTGACCTAACTAAATAGTTATTATTTGCTACAAAATATTTCAAAATTAAATTTTACATTAATTGATGTAGCAAATTATCATTGCATCAGGATGTTTATGAAATAAAAGTAAACTAATTAGCTAAAGCACAACAGGCATTAAACTTCATAGCAGACAAGAAGTCAAATCTTATCTTGAAAAATATATCACAGAAGTACATCATAATTCAATATAAACTGCTGCCATTGGGGAAGGGTAGGAAATAAAACACTCCAACAATTATAAAAACAAAGAAATACTGTCTAACAAGAACATTAGTGAGAACTGTTAAACCTACTCCTATAAAATTGTCAAGTCATCATTAAGGCTGATTTGGCCACCACATGACCAGTTTAAAAAGTTGTTCTTTGTACAGCTGGAAAAAAAAAATCCATCGGTCATACAGATAATCAGAATCTTGCATGAGTTTATAATTGTTTACCACTGATTGTTAAAAAAATGTATTGGGTTAGCAACTGTAGCAAACACCTTCATAAATATGGATAGTATAGCTCTTTGCAAATAGTAAATGCTATATTTAAGGATACTGGTTTAGGAGGTATCAGTTGTCTGTTAGGCTATTTACATAAAATACTATGTTGCTTTGATTTCAAATTGCCCTTTAACTGAATTTTCTTCCAAATGAAATTGGAAAACCACCCCGATTTTACACAGAATTACATCTAATATTGACTACTCTAGAAAATAAATACACAAGATGTACACCTAGAAAAGTCACAGGTGCTGATTTACTTTCTGTAAGATAACTTGGTGTGTGTTCTTGCCAGTGTATATTTAATGTTGTTGGACTACTTGTTGAGATATTCACGTTTTGTTAGCGCTAACTCAGGTTTTATTGTTGTCAGATTCCAACACAACAATTTATTTCTTTAATTCAAACAATTATCATTATATTGTAAGTGGTCAAATCTCACCAGAGATCACACAGCTTGCCATTTTACTGCTCAATGGTTCATTTAGTCTAAGAATATTGGACGAAACATGAAAATAAATTATTAGTTTAAAAATTTCATGGAAAAAAGGCTAGATCTCAGAAGGCAACAGCAGGTCATTATATTGTAAGATGACTGCCTATGACTGACACTTACAGTTTGTGAAATTTATAAGGCTCTATTTCAAGGTAACAAAGTTAAGCGCTCTTCAGAAGGCCCCAAATCAGTTAGTTCTTAAACTTTCGTATTTGTACATTAACCCTGACTCTGTTTACAGCAAAATGGTTTAAAATGAGCCCATTTCTTGCAAATATCTACCTTTCATTCTACTTAGGTCAATAACTGTACTGCCAATCCTCTCCACAGATGCTGCCAGACCTGCTGAATTTACCCAGCACTTTCTTTTTATTTCAGATTTCCAGCATCTGGAATATTTTGCTTTTATTATGCCATTAAAGATTACCCTGCTGATTGGAATGAGATAATCTTATTCTTTAATAACTAATTTAAATTTGGACATTAATTCCTTTTCCAGGAATCAGAAATAAATCAGTCTGACTGATAATAGAACACTCAAATGTGAAAGTATGGATTTATCAAAAAACAAAGCGAAAGCATTGGCACCACTGACAAAAAGGTACAAAACATGTTGAGTAGGTTGGGGTTCTATGGCTGTCCTGCATATTTTGCAAAAACAGGTTTTGTCAATTTTCATCCTGAAAGATGCAAAATTATAGTAATTAAATACTTAATCTGGACAAGTAAAGTTACTGAGTAATACCTGAAGTACTATAATATTGCTATGAGCTGACAGTAGACAAACAACAGCTGATTCCATATTTATACCTCAACACTGTCGAGGGAAACCATCTCTTAATCTGTATGATCCTAAATGCAAGTAACCAGTAGTAATTACTTAAGACACAGACATGCAGCCATGATTAGTTTTAAAGTACAGACTCTGACACAATAAGACACAATATATCTATTCCTGTGGAGACGAAATGAGCATGGACAGTTTTAAACAAATTGCAAGTAAATATACAACATTTTAAATAAAATGTCTTGCCTGTTTCTATATTGACTTACATTTGAGGCTGCTTAGAACTGGCAAAACAACTTTTGCATTCCCTGTTGTGCTAAAAAGTAAAATCTACAGGGAACGTAGGAGATACATCCCTTTTGCGGCTGATTTTCACCTCTCAGTAACAATAAGAACTTGGCTTTAACTACTCCTTTGCCTTACCTCTGTGGTTTCCATGACTAGACCAGAGTTTCCTACTGTTTTGTCCCTTTGTTCATTTTATGAACTTAGTGCAATGTTTCCTGCAGCAGAACGCTTGTAGCTAATTTAGCAGTAACTGGTGACAATATCAGAGTTAAAAACCTGAACCATTTACACAAATGAAAAGGCAGCATCAGGTTTCTCTTCTCGCTTTCATTTTCTTCTTTTCTGTTTTGGCACAATCTAAAGTGAAGCCATTATCTGTAATAAATCCAAAAAAAGTATATGAAATTAAATACTGTTCACATGATTAATTTTCATCTACCTGCAGATAGTTTATGACTCTTAGTTTTGGGGATAGCATGTTAAAACCCAACGAAGTTCCCCCATTGAATTTTTGAAATTGGTCTGAAGGACAAAAATTGTTGCAAGCGATATTATGAATTTATTTTTAATACACAACTTAAATTGTGATTAGGAAGATCAGAGGAATAAAAACTGAATCAGTACAAAATTCATTCACTTACTTCAGGCACAAACCTTAGCTGTCTGCTTTTTCAAGCCCCATGACCTGCTCAGATCTCAAAACATCGCTATAAGCAGGGAAGCAAGAAAAAGTCAATAAGGTACGTTCGTCAATGGACTGGTTGGACCGAAGGATATGTTTCCGTACAGTTTGACTCTATGACACCTACTGATCTAAATAATGGTCTCTCATTTAAATGAAAGAATGTAGATTCTCACAGATAGCTTGTGAGGGGTCATGCAGGAAGTTTCCAAAAGGCAGTGGACAATTAAACTTGGTCCCAGGCTTTCCTTACTTAAAGGTTGCTTTCTCAGAAATAAGACTGATCTAAAAAGTGTTTGGCACTTTTACCCTTTATTTTGGTGGTTTTTGTTAATAATACAATGAAAGCACTGTGTCACAACTTACTGGGATAGTGACTTGGAAATCAAGCCCTACAATTGCCAGAATCGTCACAATTGTGAAAACCTAACAAAATCACCAAACTGCCCAAACCTACTTAACTGATCCAGGTTAAAAGAATATGTACACTAGTATTTTTATCCCATTAACGTATCTAATTATTGCAAATGAATTGCTTTTAACTGAAGGCAAAAAAGAAGCATTAATTGCTAACTCAGAATTCTAATTTAAACGCTACGCATTTTTAAAAATTCCCACACTCATACAAACTGAAACACAAAGAGATGGGATGACACGAATTAAGTGATGGGGAAGGAAAAATGTCATAGCAGCATAGTTCTGGCATCAGTCTGGATGTCAATGCGTTTCCTTTTTTTTGGCTCCTCTCAATTCCTTTTGATTTTTTGCTGATGACATGACATTGAGGATATACTATTTCTCGGTCTTTCATTTACTGGTTGAGGATTCCTCCTTTCATTGCTACTGTAGGTGGTTTCCTCCCACCAATCCCCAATTTCCTTTCAACTGGGGATTTGCAGACAGAACAGGTCACAGAGGAAAAGATGAGAAAGAATAGCTAGCTGCTAGTGATTTCTTTTACTTTTCTGTATACAGAGAGAGAGAGAGAGAGAGAGAAATGGATACTTTCTTCGTAGGCTAAATGTTGCTGCTGTATTGTTCACACACAAAGCTTTAGTCATCAGCCCACAAACCAATTTGGAGGTTGTTACTATGCTAAGTTTTGAGATTGGTTGGCTCGCCGAGTTGGTTTGTTGTTCTGCAGACGTTTCGTTACCGTGCTTGGTAACATTCTCAGTGCAGCCTCTGATGAAGCGTCGGTAAAAGGGCAACAACACACTGCAGCAACGTGGAACTATGCCAAGAGGAGGAGGAATAGCTCTTCCAAGTGTTCAAGGATAATGGATATCCAAAGAACTGGGTCAGGAGATGCCTACATGAACAGCATCAGAAAGATTCTACACGCCCCGACACACTCATCACACTACCCTACATCAGGAACATGTCAGAACTCACCACAAGACTTCTACGACCGCTGGGTATCAGAGTGGCACACAAGCCCACATCAACCCTACGACAAGTGCTCACCCGAACTAAAGACCCACTCCCCGCCATGGACAGGACCAATGTCATCTACAAGATCCCCTGCAGAGACTGCGAGAAACACTACATCAGACAAACAGGAAGGAAACTAACAACAAGAGTACATGAACACCAACTGCTACAAAAAGACACGACCAATACTCACTCATCTCAATCCGCATGGACAAGGAGAACCACGACTTTGACTGGGACAACACCAAGATCCTGGGACAGGCTAGACAGAGATAAGCAAGAGAATTCCTGGAAGCATGGCACTCCACGAAGCATGCTATTAATAAACACATTGAACTCGACCCCATATACATTCCACTACGGAGGAAACCCAGAAGTGAGGCAATCCATCGCAATGGACCCCAGAGTTTAAAAACCAGGCGGGAAAACACACCGACGCTTCATCAGAGGCTGCACTGAGAATGTTACCAAGCATGGTAACGAAATGTCTGCGGAACAACAAACCAGCTCGGCGAGCCAACCAACCTCAAAACCCACAACCCGAGCTACAGATCTACTCCAAAACCTTATGCTAAGTTTTTCCAAATGCACAACAACCTATGCTACTTTGTCTGGAATTCTTCCCCATTGCTCAAATACGGCAATATGGTATACACAACTCACAATGTGTTCCAGTAGTTTGCCTTTAAAACTGCAAACACCATTTTTCAATTTTCTTGGTTTAAAGTGGTATTTTTTTCCAATTTTTAGTTCACAGTCCTAATCAAAAGCGTTCTTTACACCTGATTAAGCATTGAATTTGCAGTAAATGAAAATGGTTAAAATAGCCACCAAAACAGGAAAAATATAAGAATTGAAAACAGGAAACCCTAACTAAGCACATTTAAAGGGCTCTGCTGACAGAACACTAAAGCAGAATAGTTTAACACGTTTTTCAGGACTGTAGCTTAATCTTTAACAAGTTTGTTAATCCAAATTTTGTTGTAATCTGTGTTCTGAGCAATAATCAATGCTGCACAATTACGTTACAGCTCCTCTCACTGGAAAAAGAAAATCTAAAATAATATTGTCACTTCAGTATTTCATGTTAAGAGCTCTAAGATTAAAAGATTAAGGCCTAGGAACTTCCTTGCTCCAGAGGCTGGCCTGGGAGACCACCCTTGACTTAACAGCAACAGTTACATCTTCATTGCAGTCAGAGTTGAGTTTTTCAGTCAGAAAAAGACCAAATGCCTTGGCATTAAACACCAGCAGCCAACCTACAAGTAATGCATGAACCTTTAAAATAACACTCATAAAGGGCTCTTCATACCTGAAGCACCATAAGCTACTTAATGAATTTGCTCCATGCAGCTGAACCTTATATTTTTCACTGCTAAAGTGCAAGTTGCATTGAGTTTTCCGCTACAAGTCCCAGCAAGTTTTCTCAGCAGATCTCACCAAATTCACCTCATTAACTAACTACATTGCCCCACGGTATCCCTCATGTCCAATGCTAGCGCCATCTTACCATGCACAATTCTCAGAAAAACTCACTACTCAGCAGATATCCTGGAATTCCACCTGTGGCCCGGCCATCTTTAAAAGGCTGTTGGGCAACCGGACAAGCACTGTCAGTCCAGAGCCGCCCTGCACTGAACGTCAGACTGGAGAAATTGGAACTCCACACTGACGGCAGGATACTGGATGTCCTTCTGAATAGATCAGGCTGGACTTCAACTTCCTCCAGGACCAGCAAAGGTAGCTGCAAGGCCAGACCATGCCAGCCTGGTCCAAGGTTGCCCCCCAGATCAGTACAGTCTCAGCAGTCTGGAGGAATGTACAGCATGGAACGAAGAAGGTCAGCAATCTTTTCCATTCTGCCAGCGTAAGTGCCACCATCTTCTCTCCATATCCTCATGCTAATTATCTCTGCCAGTGTACCCACTTCCTACCAAGGATTCAAGCTTTACCACTCGCTCCTTCCTTGCCATAACCCACCCAAGCCCTGACACCAATATCTTTGCACGTCCTCTGTACTGCCCACTCATTTGGGTCATCTTCCCACCTTCACCAAAAGTGACAGCTGTGCCATCTACTTTCATCTCCTTTAATACCTGGCTCTCACCTTACAGGAGGATAGCAGCCTCCAGTAGAACAAAATCTCAAGATGGGTTTTGGGATGCCCAACATGAAGTTCCTTATCCCTAATGTAGAGAGCATCCTGGCCTTGACTGCTCCAAATGGCTGACTGACTGTGTCCAAAGGCTTGGACTGGTATTGGAGTCTGCTCTTGACTAACTGTGCTGGGGCCTTCGAGGTAAATGTTATGCACCTTGACTTGAACTACAGGATGCTGAAGCATTTCAGGGCAACACAGCAGTCTATGTGCACTCTAAAACATTGATAACCATTGATGGAAGCATCAGTAGGATATCCTTAGGATTCCTCCCAAATTTTTGCCTATTGTGAGAAACCTCACCACAGAGCACTCAAGTATGATATACTGACTGAAGGCTTAAGAGTTGCCTGACCCCAGCATCATTTGACGTTAGTGTCTTGTCTCACTGACTATGCTTTTCCATAAGTGTCACTAGAACATGTATAGATAACCGAAAGTGGTATCAACACAATGCAAAAATGGTAGATTTTCACATTCACGGTGCACTCTTAGAACTGGAACATGTAACCAACACACCACGTTAATACAGCAGCACGGGAACACCGGCCTAGCGCAGCACCAGTAGAACTGTTTTTCTGATGACCCTTTTCCATTCGGCCCTTATTTAGTCATTAATGTTCCCAATTTAATCCCATAGTCCATGCCTTTGCAAACTGCCATGACCTTTTTGACTTTATACTTGCCCCATGTAGTGATAGTGATGGGCCAATGTGATAGTGACATGTGAAAGTCCCTCTTACCAGAGCTCCCCATCTCCTCCTATGCTCTGTAAGATGCCACTCTTCTACCTCGAATTGCCCCCTTTCATTGTCATCATTTCCCTAGCAACCCAGTCTGCTGATTTGACGTAACCCATCGACTTGAGTTTCCTATTTTCCTGTGGACTTGCCCCTAACTAGAATTGAGCAAATCACCAGGGCTGACCACTGCCCACTCCCCACACTAACTGACCACGACACAGCTCTGGATTGATGTCTCAATAGTATCACAGTTGATGTACTTGAAATCTGCCGAATGGTTCCACTTGACCTGGAGGACTGTGGCCCAACCCTAGACTGCAAAGACACAGCTCCCTCGACTCTGGTAGAGCCAAGCACC